CCTCTGCACTGGAAGAATTGGCCTCTGTGCCTTTGCTGCAGATGCAAAAGAGGTTGTAAACATTTCCTCTTCAGCAGCACCACATCTGTCCCTGCTCCTGGAATGTGCAGCCAGGTTGTGCCAGGCAGTTCCCTGTCCCTGGAATGTTCAGCCAGGCTATGCCAGGCAGTTCTCTGCTCCATGTCAGGATTGCTGTGCTCCCACAGAACCTGCAGCTAGTTCTGGTCTCTCTGCTGAGGGATTTACATGCAGCAATTTGCAGACTGTGATCTGCATTTAGTCACTGCAATCTCCTGCCTCAAACGAAACAATCCTGAGGGTAAAAATTACTGAAATAGGAAGGGAAGGGAAGTGGAGCAGTTCCTTAGATGTAATTGCCAGGGAGAAACATCTCACTGTGGTGAGCAGCACACCCATGGAGTCTTTTCTCTGCAGGCTGCTAGTTTTACTTAGCTATAGGTGAGCAGGCAGCAGGAGATGAGAAGTTTCTACACTCCTGCAGCATTCACACATAGAACAGTTCATAAATTAGGAAATTAATTTAGTGATGCCAATGCACAGCACAGAACGCTCAGACTACCCTTTAATTGGCAGCTTTCTCTAAAGAGTAAAGCATTGATTAAGCTGTACAGAAATGAGCTCTGCAGGGTTTTCAGGTCAGGGTTAAAGCCCAGGGAGGGAAACTGGCAGTGCTGCTGTGTGTGCTGGAAGTGGTGGGTGAGAACAGACAGGACACTTTCCAGCACCATCCACTGTGAGGGCTAAATTAGCTTATTAACCATGTGTTACACAGCTCCTTTTCTGTTGGTTGTAACAATAAATGTGGGGTTTTCTCACTTAAATGTTAATTCTCTGTGTTTTTTCAGGATACAAGGACTCCAAAGCCTTCTCATGGGATAAATACTTGGAGGAAACTAATTCCCAAGCAGTCCCAGCAAGAGCATTCAAACTAGTGAGTGAATTTCTTTGATAGTCCAAGCTCAGGGGCTCTTATCCACTTTATTTTTTTTTTGATAGAGGCTTTATTTAGTCCTTGTCTATGCCAGGAGGGTGAAACTGGGTTTTACTTCAAGCCTGAGTTTAACATCATCTCTCAGTGTTGCTAAAATAAAACACACAGCAAAATACAAGATTTTTTTAAATGCCATGGAAATCTGGCTTGGAAAGGATTTTTGACTCAGCATTTTTAGTTGCTTCAAGGGAAGAGCCTTCAGTCCATGTAGATAACTGCGGCTTCCAGAGGAATGTGTGAGGGGCAATACTTTGCCTCAGAGAGGGCATGGAGAGGAGAAAGAGCTGATCTTGTCCTCAAGGTCTGACTGGGAATCTCCCAGTTGACACCTGGGCAGGACCGGTGCTGGCTGAACAGACATTCCCAGTTTCTCCCTTTGTAGGGGTCAGAAGTGGTTATCAGTCTGCATAGATAACTGCGGCTTCCAGAGGAATGTGTGAGGGGCAATACTTTGCCTCAGAGAGGGCATGGAGAGGAGAAAGAGCTGATCTTGTCCTCAAGGTCTGACTGGGAATCTCCCAGTTGACACCTGGGCAGGACCGGTGCTGGCTGAACAGACATTCCCAGTTTCTCCCTTTGTAGGGGTCAGAAGTGGTTATCAGTCTGCAGCTGGGGGTGAGCAGGTCCAGTGCTGGTTGAACAGACATTCCCAGTTTCTCCCTTCGTGGGGGTCAGAAGTGGTTATCAGTCTGCAGCTGGGGGTGTTTGATGGGGAAGGGAGTGGGTAGGGATGTGCCTGAGGGAGATGAGAAGTGTGCAGTCATCAGGTTTCCCCTCTACATGAAGTTTTAAAAACCTCTCTCAAATACTTTCAGCCTGCAGTTGTGCAAATCCTTATTTCCCTGGTTGGTGTGGCTGGAAATAAAGTAGAGAAGTTCTTATCGAGGACTTACATGTTCTAATACAGATCTTAGTTCTGGAGAGGAACTAGCTGTGCCCTCTCAGAAAGAAGTGCAGACAGAGCATCTCTTCCAACCTGCTGGATGCACTGAGATCATCCTGCAGACTCAATCCACAGGTGCTTCTCTCAACCTTGGGAGTGTGAGCTTTTATTTCTCATAGTGCATTTGTCTGGAAGCTCACTGTGAGCAGAAACAAAACAAAAACCTTTAAAATAACTTTATAAATACATCCAAATCGATTTTTTCCCTTCCACACTGCTGCCTCACCTTCCTCAACTTTGCAATATGTTCCAAAACTTTCCTGTGCCATCGTGACACTTGTCTTGATTCCTTTTGCTGAGGTTGGAGCTGCAGGTTAATACCTGCTGCCCTCCCCTGTATCTTGTTGGTAAGCTCGTTGGGACTGAGGAGGAAAAGCAATCAGGGAGGCCTCAGATAAGGGAGGCAAAAATCCAGCCAGACAGGTTTGATAATTGCTAGATTTCAGCAGGTGTCCAGTGGAGGCTGTTACAGGTTGCAAGGTAGGTGTCAGGGACTCCTGACACCAGAAGAGACTGGTTTGGCCTCTTTAGAGAACTGTAGGCCACAGATGGATTTATCTGCAGCACAGTTGAATTCCAAAATATCCCTTGGATTAAGGTTTTCCAGAGCTGGGTGTACAGCATCTTTGCAGCATGGGAAGCACCTCGGGGCAGGATAAGGAGTGGAGCCTGTCAGTAGGACTTAGTTGTTGCCCCCAGGATGGGCTCAGCCTTTTCCTGAGCCACACTCCTAAAATCCCAACAGAGCTTGAAGATGGGAACCTCCAGAATACCAGGAATGCAGCAGTTGGTTAGCTGCACAGTAGAGGAACACTAGAAGCAATTTTGTGGAGACAAATAGCTTGGAAAGATAATAAAACGCTTTGTGATACAAAAGGAAATTGAACTACAAATCTGTTTAGAGCTCCAGCCCAGGTCTTTGGTATTCTGGCATTATGGCATTCTTCCCTCAGATTTTGGGGATCTAAAATGTGGGGAGAAATGTCACCCAGAGAGCCTGTTCAGTACTGAGAACTCCCTTTTCTGGGCTCTTCCAAAGTGAAGTGTCCTCCCAGGGAGGCTGAGCTGCCTTGTCTGCCTCCTTTCCTGCTTTATGGACACATCTGCAGCCTTTGTTCTGCTCTCTCAGGGATCAGACTTTGAGAGAAGAGTAGAAAGACCAATTCTGCCTCACATAAAACTCCAGAGTGTAAATTAGCATCCAAAACTGTGTTTCAAAAATGAGACAGAAAAAAAAAAAAGGTATTTGATATATCAGCAGTTAATAGAATTCTTTCGAGATCAAACCTCATTATTTTTCTAGGTTGGACTGAAGTGCAAATAAATGGCAAAGATATTGATTTTTTTACAAATTATTATTATTATTCCAGCTAGCAATTACAAGAAATCAGTACATAAAAATACAGGTTGAGAGCCAGAACAGGCATTTCTCACTGAATTAGTTTTTAACAGTTTTAAAGAGCTGTCTTAGGTAGTCTGAGGACTTGGGTCATCAGCACAAAGAGCACATCCTGGGCCTGGATTTCTGACTCTCTCCACTCAAACACTCAGGAGACAGTTCATTGTAAGACCACTATTTCAGCCCATCCTGTCAATTCAAAAACATTCATGAGCTGTGGGTGCAAAGAATCACAGGTTGAAGAAGATCTCTGAGATTATCCAAGTCCAACCTATGACCTAACACCACTATGTCAACTAGACCATGGCACTGAGTGCCATGTCCAGTCTGTCCTTGAACACCTCCAGGGATGGTGACTCCACCACCTCCCTGGGCAGACCCAATGTCTAAAGGCAGCAACCCTTCAGCAAGGCTTAGGCAAACAGCCTGGCTCCTCTTCTGGGTAGGATTTTGACCTCTAGCACTCAGGCTCCTTCCTCAGGGAAGTCAGACAAGGTTGGCTAGTTCAGTAAGGCACTTAAAACTTAAAGCAGTTTAGATTGTCTGGTTTCTGGTGTGTCCTGTGGCCAAAATCCCATGGATGGATGTCTCTGTCCAGGTGAAATGGCCAAAAAGGAGAACTGCAGGTTTGGAGTTTCATGCCCTTAGCTCAGGAGAGAACCTCCCTCCCTGTCCCTCTGGAGATCCAACCACCCTGCCAAGACAGAGTCACCTAGAGCAAGTAAAACAGGAATGTGTCCAGGTGGTTTGGAATGTTTCCAGAGAGGGAGACTCCATGCCCTCCCTGGGCAGCTGTTCCAAGCACTCTGCCACCCTCAATGGACAGAAGTTCTTCTGTCCTGTCACTGGGCACCACTGTACAGAGTCTGGCACCATCCTCTGACACCCCTTGGAGGTATTTGTATGGATTTATGAGATCCCCTCTCAGTCTTCTCTAAGACAAGATCATCTCCATGCTGTGTTTGGGAAGTTTGTGGTCAGGCTGTGAAGGCTGTGTGCTGGTGGAGTTGGTGGTGGTATTGGCCTTTTGTCTGTGTGCCCTGGCTGTGAAATGCTTCTCTGTGCTGAGACAGCTCAGGCTGCCTCTCAAGTACTCCGGGCCTGCTGACAGACAGACAGCTCAGTCCTCTTGGGAGCTCTGATTTTAACCTCTAAAGCACAAGGACCAAAGCTCCAAAGGCATCTGAGGGGTGGGTGAAGACTTGAGGACATCACTCAGAGCATGTGATCAGCTCTAAACTCCCAGACTGTTTAGCATTCTGCTTACACCCTCTCTTGCAGCGACCTGCTCACAGCTTCCAGGTGAACATGAAGGTAGAGGCTGTGGACAGGAGAAATCCCATCCTGATAAGAGTGGCAACCATAGTTGACAAAGATGACCATCGCATCAAGGTATGACCTTGCTCCCGAGTGCAGAGCCTTGTGCTGAGGAACACAGGGATTGGCAGTGCAGGAAAAACACCCCCGTGGGACCAGGAGCTCCAAAGAACTGCCTAGAAGCTGATGTGGCTTCTAGGCCTGCCCAGCTTGAATGATTTCTGTTGCTTTGTTCTGCTGAAATCTGATGGAGTTTCCTGGTGTTGTTAGCTACTGTTTTCATGTAACTGTTTAGAAATAACACTCAACAGTGTGATTTCCCATCTCTTAGTATTTTCCCTGTGTGACTGAAGGCAGCATTAGTGTTCTGCTGAAGGGGGAAAGCCACCTGACAGGGTTTTTTTCTCTAGCATACTTAAAGGAAAACCCAAAGCAATTTAAACCCTGGGAAGCAGCTTCATCCTCCAGTAGGCATTTGTCACTTCAATGGGGTTTAATTCTTTGCACAGAAAAATCTGTTGTGCTTTGGCTTCTGAGGAGTTAAGCATGAGCCAGGTGAAGGGGAGGCTGCACTGATGAAAGCTCCTTGGCCACAAGTCTCCTTCCTGAGGGATGATTGTGTGGGCAGGAGTGGAGTTTGCTCCCTGTTAGCACTTGATTCTTACTCTCATCCCTGGGATTGCAAACAAAAGCCAAGTTTTGCCAGTAGCATGATATTCATCCATATGGACCTTTGCTACACAGCCAGTAATCCTTAAAATCCAGAGAGCCTCAGTCTCTCTTAGCCTGACCTGGATCTGAGCTAACTTTTGCAGTCTCTTCAGCAGAAAATTGTAGCTTGTTCACTGTAAAACTCACCAAACCTGTTGGCAAAACAATTCAATAAGTAATTGTGTTTGCATAGCTTTAGGCTTTGAGTCTAGAGCACCCCATGGTCTGTGGTTTCTTGCAGAGCCTGTGCTATGACTGTGTCACCAGAATCTGGTTGTTCTGTAAGACACAGATGCAGGAATACAAATAGTTACACCGAGCACAGAGGATGATTGTGCCTGGCTGAAAGATTGAATGAATCAGCCCCAAGCTGAGCAAGGTGAAACAAAGGGGGAAGTTAACATAAAAGCTGAGTCATGTCCTTAGCTGTGTCTCTCACCAAGCCTGTGCTTCTTTCAGATCCATTTTGATGGTTGGGACTGTACCTTTGATTTCTGGGTGGATGCAGACAGCCCTGATGTCCATCCCGTGGGCTGGTGTGCCAAAACTGGCCATGCTCTGCAAGTCCCTCTAGGTAAACAGATGACATCAGGTGGGCTAATTTCCTCAGTGCAGCCTGCTCTTCAGATGCAAATCTCTGTAACTTTGTTGTTTCTTATTGCCAGGTGCTGAGGATCCAGAGGAAGCACTGGGACAAGCGTGTCCTACTCCAGGTTGCCACGGGATCGGGCACGTCCGGGGACCACGATATGGAACACATCACACGTATGTAGACGAGATCTTGTAAGAGCCTGAGTGCTGTTAATAGCACTAATGCAGCAACAAGCACCTGCACTGCACTGAAGAGATCTCTGTGTTTATTCTGGAGACACTTATACCTGCAATTGCAGCTCCCTCTTGTGTCTAAATGTGCTGCTTCATCATGTTTATACCAGTGTCATCATCACAACTGCAATGCAAACAGATTCATTCACTCCAGTTTCCACATTCTAGCAGTGCTGAAGGAGGTGTTTTGGTAAAATAATACACCCAAGAACAGCATCCAGAGTGATGAAGAGGGAGTGTGGGTAGGTTATTAAAGTGTAAGAGTGAGGAGTGCTTGCTCATGTTTTGTCTTTTGATTTCTTACATGCTCTTGGAGAAAAAAAGGAAGGCTTTTCTCAAGTAAATATTTTAAAGAGCCAGAAGACAACCTCAGGTGGGAGGGCTGAAGTTCTGGTAGTTTATAATGTAGTAAAGGCCTTTGAATTTTTCAGAGGGAAAGTTGCAGAACTCTCCTGTACCATGACATGTTGTTCAGATGAGCAGGCTGCAGGGAA